CCCACACAGCCTGCTATTCAGTTGTTTGGTCGTTCCTCACTAACCGCCCCTGCCGACCTGGTCGCCCCACACAGCCTGATGTTCAGTCATTATTGTGACAGTGTCCTGGACAATTTGCATATTCCTCTATTAGTGTAGAGCAGCAGTTCTCAACCTGTGGGTTGCGAGCCCTTTGGGAGTCGAACGACCCTTTCACAGGGGTCGCCTAAGACCATCGGAAAACACATAATTACATATTGTTTTTGTGATTAATCACTATGCTTTAATTATGTTCAGTCTGTAACAATGAAATTGGGGGTCACCACAACATGAGGAACTGTATTAAAGGGTCGCAGCATTAGGAAGGTTGAGAACCACTGGTATAGATAGTTCATGGTTCAAAATTCAAAGCTCCCCTTCCATCCTACCCTTTAGATACCAATTCCCCTTCTTGGAGGCAATGTTGCCAGTTTCCTGAATATTCTTCCAGAGATTTTCTTTGTAAGTACAAGCAAATAAAATACAGCTTTGCTTTTTTTTTTTAACAAAAAATAGTAAGAAAAAACAGACCCACAAGCCACAGCTAACAAAATTCACCTTTCAATGCTCAAAGGAGAAAATAAAAACTAAACAACTTAAAAATGTTTGCATTAGTTTATAAGTATCAAAATTCAGTATCAGGTCTCTTATCATATGCATTCTTTAAAAAGGTGTCTTCACTGTCTTCTAAATAACATGATTGTTTTCATTCCTTTAAAAAACTAATTCATATAAATAATTTTGATCTTGGCTTAATAGAAACAAAACAATTATAAAAAAATTTAAATACAATCACCAGTAAAAAAATTAACGTTAAATGTTATGCTGCCCATGAGTATTATGGTCACGTATTATGTATTAGGGGAAAGGTGGGTGATTATAAACAACAGAATCTTTTCTCTTACAGTTCTGGAGGCTGAAAGTCCAAGATCAGGGTCCTAACAGGATCAGGTAAGGCCCCTCTTCTCAGTCATATATTATGTATTATGTATACATGTATTATGGTCCACAATATTAGAGACTGAAATTCCAAACTGTTTTGAAAGTTCAAATATATATGGCATCTTCAAAGGTAAAGCATGTATTTTTAAAATCTAAAAATATGTTAAAGTGGAATAAGAACTATAATTATGTTATCTGGTGGAAACAAGGTGCAAATGAACAAGCTGCAAAGACAATTTCTCTTATCTACCACCTCTTCCCCCAAAATAGCAATTACAATGGTGACTATACCCTGGTTCATTACTTTTTATAAAATTAGTTTCTGCTGAAGCAGATGCCCTCAAGAACCTGTATCTCAAAATAGAAAGCACAGCTGAAGTTTAAGGCTAGTAAGTGAACAACTATGGTACAAATGCCAGAGGTAATGCATGTTAGTATTTTACTAGAGTGCCGGGAGCCAGTCCATCCTTGCTGTTTCAAGGGACCTGGCATATATGGCATACTGTTCTTAATATGTTTGCTCACCTTCTTGGCGCTGTGTTTTAACCACGGTCACCTCTCCGAGAAAGGTTGTTTCCCCAGGTAGGGATTTTCCCCTGAAGTTAGGGAGGGAATAAAACCTCTTAACTAAGTG